ATCATCATTATATGCAGTCAGTAGAATTTACCCTGTTTAGCAGATGGGGAGCTGATGCACGAGAAGGGAATTGCCAATTCAGGGCTGTCTGGGCAGTGGTGGAGACAGGAGAACCTCTGTCTCTGGAATCCAGGTCCCGTTGTCTGTATTTCTCAGTCTTTTCAAGTTGAAGCCTTCTGGAAATAGCTAAAGTCAGATAAATAGATTAGGAAAAGAGTAGAGAGATCATCCAGTTCGGTTATCCCAATAGTAAGTATTTGCTTGCAGCTAACTACAAACAGTCTAAAACTGGGCTCTCATTCCTTTTTTCAGTTTTCCTCCTATTTGCTCATTTGCCTGCTTACAAATCTGAGAATCTGTTGTATAGAGTCCTGGGAATGCAGGTTTTCTAAGAAAAATAAATAAATAAATATGCTTACCACTTTACAGGTCACCTTCTAATATCAGAAATGTTTAGAAACACTGAGAAGCTGCTGTAGCTCCGTTAAAGACATCATGAGACCGGTGCTCCGAGGCCACATTGCTCAAGTGCTGTTACCTGTTCAGCTGGAACCCTCGTGGAAATGGGTGGTAGAGCTGTGAGATCAGACCCTGTCTCCGCAGAACTGACCCCAGCATCTTAGATTAAAGCATTTTGCAAGTGCTGCTCGTCTTTGCCATTGCAGACAGCCTGCACTGCGTGCTCATCGTTTGAGTCCTCTTCCAGACTGGCCCACTCGTGTGAGCCTTGACAAATACGTGTCCACACTTTGCATCGTGGCACAAGGGCCGGGTATTGAGGACCCCGTTGGGTTTTACCGACACTTGAGTGCTGCATGGACCTGGCTGTGGCTCTGGACAGAGACAGGCTCAACGTGAGCATGCAGCATGCTCTAATTAACCTAATACAAACCAAAGACATCTACATTCGTCTTCCCACGGCAATAGGGCTTTTTATTATTATTATTTAGAAATAAGTATAACTTTGAGCTTCATTAAAACCAAATGTTTAATTGCATTCATGGATATCAGTTTTATTGATTTACTTAGCTTCCCCTGTACGGTACAGCAGAATAATATATCACGGTTTCATATACTGCTGTCCTAGCCAAGTTTTGCTTCAGCGTCACAGTTTCTCAGACAAGTATGCATTGATGGTTTATGTTGGCAGGGCCTTTGCTTCTGCTGACAAGTTGGAAAAGAAAAATCCCATTTATATTTTGAGATTTCCTAAAGCCTGTTGATTTATGAAATTCAACTGGCCTTGCATTAGGTTGTGCTTTATTTTGTTTCTTCCCCTTCTTTTCTTTTGAAAGCAAAAAATACCCTATTTGACTTTATCAACTGCTTAAGCAGTAGAGTTATTCCATGTAATTGTGTTTCCCCAGTTGAGAGATTCCTGGCAAGTTAAGCAGCACTTAGCAACAAATTAATTATTTTAAGTTAAATTTTAAGTCCATTTTCTTTGAGATGGAGGCAGAGCCCCCACCACAACCCATCCCATGGGCAGGTTCCCTGTGTGTCCATATGTCCTGCAGTAGGCAAAGATCAGGGAGCCACGGCTTGTGCTTAGGGCTCATTAGGAGCAATGTGGTTTATGTGGTACTGAGCACCAGGCACGAGCAGGGTTCAAACCTTGTGAGACCCAGTAAAATATTAGCTCAAGAGCAGTCTAAGAGAGCTTCCAGCTGGCACCGAGCCTGTGAGATGATGTCTGGACATCCCGGATGGTGTCATTTTATTTTCTCCCTCTCTGCTACTAAAACTGCCTGTTTTAGATAGGGGTTGAATTGTCTCGTCTTGTTCCTGGTGATGGTGGAAGTGAAATTATATATATGGAGCTGCTCTGGGTCCCACTACCTGCCTTAAGGGCAGGGTCTGGGCAGCAGGGCCCTGCAGGAGCCAGGAACTGCTGGAAAATAAGGACCATCTTCTGGAGCACGTGAGAGACCAGGAGCAGTGTCGGAGTAACAGAGCCTGCTTGGAAAAGCCTGTCAGAAATGCAGAAGGAAAAAAAATAGTAATTATGGATTTATTTTATTTGCATCAAATTCAGAATACTGAAAGACTGGTAGGTATGGTTAATTTTATCCTGCCACACCAAAAGAAAAAAAGAAACCATCATTTTTGACTAGCTATATTTTTATGGTCACGTTTGGCTCTTATTCAATGGGGGAAAATGCAATAGTAGGAAAAGAAAACTGATCAAAAACAGAAGGTGGGCCAAGATAATTCATATTTGATAATATTCATTATCTTATTACAGAGGGTCACAAGCCAGGTGCTGATATCCTGTCGGCTGGATGCAAAGGATAAGGCTGCATTAAATGAAATGTATATTTTCCTTATGTCAAACATGCAGAATTTTTGACCTTGAGATTGTTTCCTGCGCAGAGGTGGAACTGCACTTAGAGGCTCGTGCTGTCCCTAGGGAGATGGGAATTTCGGTGACGAGTTGAATCAACTGGTTCTGATATGCTCAGCTGAAAATGAAATGAATCCCCTTGGTACCTGCTCATTTGTTCATATCCCCCCAAACGAGGGGAAGAGAACTGGTTAGGGACGTGAGGCAGCGGATGGGGGCACAAGGGGGGTACCTGGAAACCTGGCACTGCTGGTGCGTGTTTCTGCTGGGAATTCTTGGCTCCAAAACGCTGGATTAAAAAAAAAAGGAAGCTTCACCCAGCAATAGGATACTGTTAAGCCCTTCCCTTCTTAGTGCAAATAATTACAGTAAATGAAACAAGTATAGATACTTAAAATGAGCAGCATTCTAAGCAGTCTAAAGTTAAAATTAAATATATATTTTTAAAAGCTATATAACTTTTTAAACAGTTTTATGCTGTTGTCACTAACAGGGAGAGGGTCAGGGCTAGCCCATTTCAAACAGTGACTAACAGGGCTCTGCCTCCACTGGTGGCTCCGGCAGCCTCCAATATTAAATGATTAATTGCACATGGGAAAGACAACAACCTTTATTTAATTATGCTGATTAGGGAGTTGCTGGTTATTGGAGTAAAGGGAATATGTTGTCCTAGTTTCCTAAATTCTTAAAGGAATGAAGTAGATGTAACCTAATTTCTTGGAGCTGCATAAAGCTCAGGTCGTGGGGCAGCTTGGAGGGCCCTGCTGTGTCCTTCAGGCTGTGGCCTTGTAGCTCCAGCTGAAAGGTTAGTTCTGCTTTTGCATCTATGAAATATTTAATGTGTAAAGAGTTTTTTGAAACACTTAATTTACAAACATTCCTGTGTAGTGGGTAAATAGTAAATCTCATCTGACTTGCTGGGGTGCAGGGGAGGCTTGTCAGACTCCAAGTCTTTGTTCAGATCGGTGAATTATGCTCCTTGTGCTTGTGTGGGCCTGTGAATGCTATTGCAGGGCCTTTTTAGTATGTTCTAGAGACAGTTAACAGAAAAAATGGTTGTTTATTGGCTTGGCTGAATTGAAGCTACTGATGTTTTGTAGCAAGGCTGTGCTGTCGGTTGGCTCGAATTCAAAACTTCTCTTAATTGGTTTGGGGGCCAAAGACCTAAGTGTCTTGTTCATATCTTCATAACTTTCTGTTCTCTCTCAGCCAGCTTTTCCATAATATATGTATATATATTTTTGAATCAGCATTTATGGTCTCATTAACCTGCTGCTGGGTCTCTGCTGTTGTTGTTTTTGTTTTCTGTTTTTTTTTTTTTTTTTTTCTTCTTTCAAACTACAAGAATGTGTAGAAACACAGTAGTTACTATAACCCCAGTGAGACCAGTATGTATCTCATTTTTACTGTAGTTCAGACTAGAAATATAAACAACAAACACTTCCTATATGCTAAAAAGACCCACTAATGAAATGTAACTTTTTTGCCCCAAAATGATAGCTGTTAATAGCATATACAGACAGCGTAGAGGAGATTAAAGGAGGAATTGAGGTAGTATGTCTGTCTTGGTCAGTAGCAAGATCCATAGGGATTTTAGGCAGAATCCCACTATTACTAAAAAAAAATTGCCGGTCCTTAGGGATTCATGCCCACATAATTTAAAGATATGTAAGAAATCAGTAATGTGGTGCAGTTTGAATTGACCAATACTTGCAGCATCACTGTAAGTAATTTTTCATCCCTAGTTTACAGAAGAGAGATGGGTTGTAAAGGCTGTCTAGCTTTGATTATGCCATTAGCCAGCAAAGCCTGATCTCCTGTGCCATTGGAGCAGCCGTCTGGCAGCCTCCTGCTTGGTCATCTCCGTGTGCTCAGGATGCACATTAGACCCTTGAAGTTAGACACCGAATATTAAATCTCTTCCTCTTACTATAACGCCTACCTAAGGCCTGGCATTGAGTCTAACTCCTGGCTTCTAAAGGCGTTAGTCTTGGTGTAATGCACAGCGGCGCGTGGCTGCTCACCTGCCTTGTGCTGGGCTGCAGGAGCATCCCGAGGTCCTCACATGGCCTTGCATAAAAGCAATTGCTCTTGGGAGCAAAATGGGTTAAACAGAAATCCCTTGGTTAATGCATCTGAGCTTCATTTTAGTTAATAATCCATTTAGATACTCTGCATCTCTCACCTGGCAGATTTGTTGCTTGCATCAGCATTAGGTTTAAAAGGTGTAATGCACACTGCAGATCCTAATGCATACTTTCCTCTGTACCTTCTCTTGTAAAAGCATTTTACCACCTTTCTGTTCTGTAGTGTTTTCCACGGGTTCTCAGAAACACATGCTCTGTGACTCCACTCCGCAGTGGCAATGCATCACCAGGAGAACAGAAAACACATAAAACACAAATGTAATTTTACTCTACAGCACAGCACTTCAGAAGAGGAGAATTTTCTTTGAGCCATTGCTGCTGTAAAGTACAGTGTGCTGCTCTGACGAATATACAGCTCTGATATCTCCTGTTCCACCCAGCTGTGACACTGTAAATCCACGTTTTGCTTTTTTCACGCTCTGTCATTATTAAAACCTGTTGTAACTTTGTTGAAAGCAAACATATATTAGCACCTGAAATCTATGCATCTTACTCTGCTCTCTTAACAGGGGAATTATTGTATTTGAAAACAAAAGCTACATTCTGGAGCCATTAGAAGGTGCTGCAAGTGAACACAAGATCTACCGATCAGCAAACTTGAAAATTGCCCCAGGATCTTGTGGCCACACTCTGGACCTTTCTGCCACGAGGACTGATGACTCCCTACATGGTTCTCAAGCATTTGCTGGCAGGGTAGGTGGCTGATGCAGTTTGCTGAATATCTGCCTGGTAGCATGTCTGTATTACTGTCCACTGTGACTTTGACCCAACCTCAAGAGCTACACTTTAAAAACTGTTTGTGTCCGTGAATCTTTAGTCATCATTCCTTCTCTACTACATGAGTCTGGATTACAGGTTTCCAAGGAAGAGTTCCGCCTTGGAGAAGGGCAGAGGCTTGTGCTGCTGTCCTGCATGTAGAGGCCAGTCATGATCTGCTCAGAGGTCGGATTGGCTGCTCCCTGCGTGTTTCAGTCCTGCCGCATTGGCTTTCTCTATGAATTAATCCTTGAGCTTCTTATATCCCTAAGGAGCAAACTATTAAACCATTTAGTCACTTCTGTTGAAGTCAGCTACTTGAGTGCATGCTTAGAGTTAGGCAAACATGATTTACTAAAATGCTTTTTCCTGGTCTTGCTTACATAGCGTTTTTAAAATTCTCTTTCTGGTAGTGAGATGGCACTGAAGAGTGTGTGGTCTCATATTATGGTAATATATTTTGATTCATGTTCCACTTATAATTATAGCAATCATTTAAGACTCCATAAGGATAGTGAGTAGAATAGTTCTAGAATAGCTCTTGCCCACCCAAGATGGAAAGAACATGATAGCTGTGATGCTTTGCTAATAATATGTTTTCAAACTTAAATGATCCTTTAATTCCAATAGGAAAGTATTTTATGCAGACAAAACATTCTCACCATTTTATTCTCCAGATGTATATTGTAATTGTTTTTATGTAGGAAGAAATACTCCTAATTTAGAATGCATCTAGCTAATGGAAACTGGAGAAAGTGAAAGAGTTCCAAAGCAGGAAGAAGAAATACACAAATATGCACAAATTCATGTGCATATTGGATGGAGAGTGTAGAAAAGACTGGTTTAGGCATTCAAAAATTATACAATGGCACAAATTTGCCCTCTGAATTTAATAAATGTGGCATGTTAGTATTTATAGTCACATATTCTACTAAGCCTTTGCATCAAGTTAATTGTTAAGGAAAACAAACTAAATGGCATCCCTAGGTATTATTTATGTAGTGGGATAAATTATTGTACAATGGGGGACTATTAAACAATACATCTCCAAATTTCTTTTTGCCCCATAAATTTTTTCATTCGTTGTTATATATACTGTTTTATGGGGTAAGCTTATTTCTGAAAGTGCCTGAAGTCTATAGGTTGAAAATGCTGGCATATCTGAAAAGAAATTTATTTATGTGTTCTGATTAAAAATTCCTTATTAACTTGTCCTCATATTTTATATAAATGACATGAACTTTCTATTCTTTGAGAAATATATGGAATACCAGAATAAAGCCATAGCCTTTCAGCCTGTCCTTCTATAAACACAACAATAACCAAACACAACTCGCCAGAATGTGCTTCCTTACAATGAAACTTCAGATACCTGTGGAGGTTTCTCCACTATGCTGCAGTGTTTCTGCAGACCATGCCAAAGCTTAGAAAATTCTATTTTCAGATAGAGGGGGGCCTATTAATGTTAATATTAAAATACTTTCTGCAAATTTATTAAGGCTGTCCCAAAATATTTAGCAACTTTTAACTAAAGTTTGCTGACATAATTGGTTTAAGAGTAAGCAATGGAAATAAAGAATATACATATAACTAACTGATACAATCAAAGTAATTTTACCATTGCCCTCAAGTTTCTTGTGTGTTTTTTTTTTTTTTCTCCATGACTTCAACTACATGTCAGAATTCACCTTAAATATCTGTCTAACACTTTTTACTGTGGCTCAGTGGACATATTTATTTTGACAGGTTTTATAATTATCATACAGATAGGTAAAATATATATAATGAGTATGTTGGATAGATTTCTAATATATGAATTTCGCAACTTGTCAAATGTAATCTGGGGAGTGCATTTTCACATGTCAATGTTTTCATCAGCTAAATAGACTGTCAGGATGCATTGAGTATAGATGACCTGCAAACATGGAAGGACAAGCCTGTCCCAAATTACAGTGGGTCACAGAAGTAAGCAGAAATCCAGGCTCAGCTCTAGTGCACTAGGAATATTTTGGGTTTCATGGAGAGTTTTGGGGGGCCTTTTCATTTTTCTCTGACTCTTTGCTCAGCTGCACCAAATGCTTATTGAGCTGAGCTAAAGCATTAGATCAGTATATCACAAAGTTAGGCTAGACTTAAGTTTAGATTTAAGGGTGGATAGACAATGGAACAACAGCAGATACCTTGTGTTTGGCTCCGGGAAGATGAGAGAGTATAATTGGCCAAGGCAGATGCGTGCAGGAACTTTTTGTGCTGTTAGAAGCATGTCCATAAACCCTGGATGGTTTTGTGACTTGGAGGGCTCTCAAGTTGCACATGGGCTGTCTCTTCCACTGTGTCATTCTGGAGTCACATTAAATAGCCATTTTGGTGGTGGTGGCATCAGCAGCAAATGGAGCCAAGTGTGTTTTCTTCCGTTCTGGCTTATGTCTGTTGTCTTGACTCTCTGTTTTAATTCTGAGTGATTAATCGAGGAAATGGATTGTGCAGTGATGCAACTGTCTGCAGAAAGCAATCTGAAAGAAGTGATAATTAGGTACATTTTATAAATAAATAACTGTATTCAAGGAGCACACATGGCTTTGGGCCAGTGGCAGGAAGGGATTTGTTAGGCTGATCAGCACCAGAGGTATCACCATATCAGATGATTTTACCACACCAGCCAGTTTCTCTCGGGCTAAATCTCTGCAGCCCGGACAGATTTGCTTTGGCTGGGAAGTGAAGGGTGTAAACGGAGTGCTGCAGTGGAGCTCTTCTCACATCTGCACGGCTGGGTTGCTGTGCCTGATTTTCTACTCTTCAGCTGGAAGAAGACTCTGAGGTGCTTCCCCGATCTGGACCACACACGAAAATTCCAGTATATTTTAGAGCTGCGGTGCCTGAAAAACCAGTTCTGCCACAAGCAAAATCCACATACTGGAAGAACAGTATCCTAATGCTGGAAGAAACTGTGAGACTCTCCACCCCAGCTCCTTTGCCAGGCCTCAGAATGAGTGTAATCCAACAACAGGTTATGCCATCAATGTTTAGTTTCCTGATGATATCCTCTATTGCTTTCTCAGCACAGAAATACTGTCCAAACCGAGTTTATTTTTCAGTTTCAAAGCAGATTAGCACTCCTAAATGGGAGATTTGTAGTGTTTGGACGTTTAAGGTGCAGAAAGTGGGTTTGTCACTCCCCTCTATGCGAAATGCTCTGAGCCGCGAATCGCGGTGACGGAGGAAGGCAGCGATGATGGGAGCGAAACCTGCTGCAGTCTGTCTGGAAGGTCTGGCCGTGGTGTCCTGGACTGACTTAGCTCCTTAGGAAAATGCCTCGGGGATTGTGCAATTTGCCTTGGAACACAGAGTTTGCACTGGAAAGCTCTGGTCATGGTTGAGGTTATAGAGCGTTAGTTCAAGGCATCACAGTTACTTTGTAAGTCGCTCCCCTTAAGTCATTCTACTTAAAACCCCTAAGTTCTGGCCAGAAGGTCAGACAAGGCGCTGGGAGCTCCATCCTCCAGCTGCCTTATTCCAGGAACTGGGGAGAAGCGATAGAAGGGATGCTCAGCTGGCATCAATCAGAGAAACTTTGCAAACAGCAATAGATCACTGCAATTCAGAACAGCACAGGAGCAGCTGTGTTGTTAGTACCGTGACAAAATCATTTAATTATCTTTAGTGATCTTTTTGCAGATAAGCATTAGGATTATATCTGCATTTAGGAGTGCAAATATCATGATGTGCTACTGTATATGAAGATGCAGTTGCAGGATTAAATATGTATCTTTTGTTTTGAAAGTTTTGCGGTTTCCTTCCCCAGACACTCACAGTTCTTTGGGTGTTTTTTTTGTTGTTGTTGGGGTTTTTTCTTCCTTGCAGTTGTTCTTTTTTTTTTCCCCTCCGCTTTTTAATTGTGTATAATTTATCCGATGCCCACTTGCTCTCCTCCTACTTCCCTCAGTATACCTTTATCCTTCATTTTTCTGGGCAGCCACTTGGTCTATTTTGCGGGAAGTTTCCTAAAAGTGGCATTGTTGTTTGTCTAAATGTAGCCAGAGAAGAGCAAGGGCCCTTCTACCACAGACCATATCCTCCTACAAGGAAAAGACTTCAACTGCAGGGAGCGGGTTGTGGGGGACTCTGCGTCACTTCCCTGCTCTGATCAAACCCGTGTTGTTGTGCGAGCAGCGCGTTCTCTATTTATCTTCTGGAAGATAAAAGAATGACTTCCATGAGGAAAAGGAAAACAATAAAATGTATGTATGTAGTGAAACCTTTGGAAATCTGAAATGATGTGTATCTCCTTTTGAAAACACTGTCTTGGAGTGAGACCAAGCTGATCCTAAAGAGGACTTACTGCAGAAACAAAATACTGTTTTCATCTTTTTTTTTTTTTTTTTTTTTTTTGTCAGTACAAGAGGGAGACTCTGAAGACGACAAAGTATGTGGAGCTTGTTATTGTGGCAGATAATCGGGAGGTAAGAAACTTAAAAGAAATGGGAAGTACAGGTGGGAAATGAGTAGCTCCGTTTAGGTTTTGTGGTGTTGCAAATAATGTATTTCATATATAACATCCTAGTAGTGATGCTTCTTGCCTGATGAGGGTCAAGCAGTGGGGAGCACTAATTAGACAAGCATAAAGCCATGAATAGTCCCATGATAGGCAACAGGAGTTTGCTGTTGGCCTTTGGTTGCCCATTGTGGTCCTCAAACAGCAGTGACTGCTGGCAAAGTAGGTGCTGGGGAGAAATATTGCTGCCTCGGTGCTGCTAGCATATTGATCTTTTACGTTCTAAGTTTCAGAGACAAGGCAAGGATGTAGAAAAAATCAAGCAGAGGCTGATAGAAATTGCAAACTATGTTGATAAGGTAAGAAAGAACATTAAAATTATTTCACTTTTTCAAGCCTTACTGTACTTCCCAGTGGATATTCCTCTGTCATCTGAGTCACTATCACTAGTAACTCAAAACAGATTCTAAAATGTAAAAATTACGTTTTCATGGAGAGAAAAAGAGCTCATCACTGAGATTTGCTGGTAAAAATAAGTCCTACATTTCCAGTAATTTTTTTGTTTACCAGATCAGCTATGAATCAGCTCAGATGCTCTGTGGCAGAGCCCAACCTAAAGAGAGCAATACCAAGGAGAAGCAATAGTTCTATAGCTGAAAACATACTTTAGCTTAGTCCTGAAAAAAAATCCTGAAAAAAAGACAAAAGAACTGCCAAAGAATTAATTTAGGCAAAGGAACTTACTGAAGATTGAGCCAAGCATCCTGTTATTGTGCCTGCTAAGACAGTTTGCTTTCTTAGGCAGCTTTGACTTTACGACAGTATTTTTAGGCTACCCAGCACCACTGCAGGCCCATCATTTTTGTAGCGCCCCATGGACACAAAGCTGCTTGCAAAAAAATTGAGATATATGTGGTTTCCTGCGATTACTTGCTCAGTGCCTCATCGTATGGGGTTGAAGGCAGCACAGGTGATGTGGGAAATAAAGCCTCTTGCAGTATCCATTAAGCCAGCAAAGGAGAAGGGTATAAAGACATGGTCAATAAGCTATATAGTACAAGGAACACGGCAGAATGAAAACCATGCTGTACTTAGGAAGCAAGGGTTTATGGCTAGGTAAGAGCAGCAGCATTTTGCCTGTGGAGACAAGAAGAGACATGCCCTGGATTTTTGTATGTGAAGTAATTTCTTGGCAATATACAGTAAACTCTTGAGTCCTCTGGGTAAAAGGCACTGCAGTGTTTTTTGAACAGATTTACTTTTGTCGTGCTATATGGCCAGGAAAACGAGGACTCCAGTAATGAAATTATAACTGAGAGAGTCTAATTTAATGGGGAACTTACCCATTGATGCTTCAAGGACAGTAACTCAAGGAGAAGCATTCTTGATTAAAAACAGGATGCTGAATAGATCTCCACTTCTTCTGTAATTGTCTTGCTGACTTATTACTGCAGGAAGGGTGTTTATATGTTACCTATTCAAAATTAATTTTGCATGTTATAATATATTTATGTTTTACGCTCAATTTATGCTCAGTAAATGGCAGTACTATCCAAATGACTGTGATGTGTATAGGCAAGACAAAGATCTAATATATACTTTTCTCGGACTATCAACCAAATTGGTACTTGATTGATTCTTGAGTCCTTCTTCACATTAGTCTTAGCTTAAAATTGTTAACACTGCCCCAGGTCCCATCTTGTAGCAGCTATGGCATTTACTGAGGTTATGATGGAGTGGTGTGGACAACAGTCCTATGATTACTTGTTTTAAATCTGCTTTGAGCAAATCCTAGTGACTCTGATTCAATTTTCATAAAGTATTCGGAACCACAACTGTAGCACACCCCAGTAATACTGTTGCTTCTCCCTTTTGACTTGCATTGGTGGTGGTAATAGAGGGAAATTGTGGAGTGAGTCATCTGAGGTAGAAAAAAGCTTATTCAGAAAGCAGGGGGTGTGCTAAGGTAGTTGCAACACTTCGTCTTGAAGAAAGATATCAAACCTAAAATAGACATAGATATCCACACGTCTATGGATATCTTTTGAGTGCCTTATAATATTTAGTTAGGTCAGAACTGGACCAATGTTTTCTCCACATCATAGATTATCTGAGTCCAGTCCTATAAGGTGCTCATTTTTGCCCTAGAAGACCCTTGAAAGGGATTGTTAAGCCTCTGCAAAAGGGGCTGATATGCACGTTAGGCCCCATTGACATTTTCTTATCTAATCAGTTCTAAAACAGGTCTTAGCATGTGGGTTTTTTTGGTTTGTTTGTTTGTTTCCCCTCCCTAGTTCTACAGGCCACTAAATATTCGAGTAGCCTTGGTTGGCGTGGAAGTGTGGAACGACATGGATAAGTGCTCTATCTCTCAAGACCCTTTCACCAGCCTCCATGAGTTTCTGGACTGGAGAAAGCTAAAACTACTACCTCGTAAACCCCACGACAATGCACAGCTAATAAGGTAGAGTTGACCGTATATTTAATATTGGCACGGATTTCGGTGATTCAGTAGTTGTACTGAATTCTTGGTCAGTTGTTCAGCTGTTGTGGACATCTGTGTCATGAGGGTTGAGGGCACTGCCTGGCCTTAAGGATACTTGGTAGGGCCCTTCAGCAGTGTGGGTGGATGGTAGAGATGAATAGCAATAGCTCTGCAATAGCTCTGTTACTTACAGGTCTTTCCTGTATACAAGTCACACAGAATTGTGGATGGGTTATAACGTGATAAATACTTTGGGTAGGAATTCTCAACCAGTTTAAGCTAGTCTAAATTTAAACTTTTACTGAAAGAGGAAATGGGGTCTAAATTGGACAATTCATTTGTATTTGTAATTTCAGGTTTAAGCTTTACAGGTCTTTCATCCTTTTGCCTTTTTTGGATTAAAATGGTTGAGTAAATGTGCTCAAGATAAGAGTTTAAAAAAAACACGAATAAGAGAACTTCTTTCTTGAACCAACTATCATTATGTCAGTGAACCAATCTTTATACCATACCAATAAGCATACTTTGTGTATCAGTAAGTGAAAGGTGCTGTCTTTCCTACTGCGCAGATACTACATTATCTGTGTGAAACTAGTGAGTCCTTTCACATCATCTATCATAAGATATTTGATTATTATGTATGTCTAATAATGTTTTGTTTAGAGTAATTTTATTGCCACCAAGTATTATTATAAATAACGTATAGACTTGCCCCTGCATAAAATAACTCTTCCTCGAGCTAGAGACATTTTTTATGTTTATATTTGTATTCCCAACTTCAGTCAAGGAAAAAAGAGGGGAAAAAAAAGAACCCTATTGCTGCAGTAAATCTCAAAGATGATGATCAAATGCATCTTTCAAGTAGCAGGGGTGTTGTCATTGTCACTTTGGCAAGTCTGCATGACTAATCCATGCTTTTCATTGTTTTCAACCTGCAAACGTCCAAAGCTGACACATTCGAAATGGGATCTTTCTTCGAGATTGGCAGAAGTACAAGACTGAAAATCGCAGGGCTCTTTCTTGACATTAAATGGTGATTCTGTGCTTCTTTTCCTTTCCTGCCCTCCTGCAGCGGGGTCTACTTCCAAGGGACAACCATTGGCATGGCGCCCATCATGAGCATGTGCACTGCAGAGCAGTCCGGCGGGGTGGTCATGGTAAGTGACAGGAGCACAACAGCAGAACCTGCCCAACGGATGCACCGTGTTCTCAAGGGCTGTGATACTGAATTCCATACCAGAACATCTACTTCTTCCATCCCACTTCCAATCTCCGTTTTAGCTGTGTCTACATGCTTTCTTGTACACGTTTTAAATCATAGTTTCCATAGTGAAGAAAGCAAAGTCTTGGATTAAAATATACGACCCGTTTGCAAGAATCCTGAAAGTGAATGGGCACTACTCCTGGTTATCAATAAATCAGGTGCAGATGTACTGTGAAAGGTGAGAACCGTGTATTTGTTATGCACCTGAGTATCCTACTGTAACAGGCAACATCAGTCTGTTCTGAATCTCTTATTCCGTGGATTTTGTTCTGCATATACGGTTTCCTGCATAAGGCCTTATTTGCTGTCTTTGCAGCAGAGTGGTTTCATTCTGTTTCCAAAAAGCAAGCACAAACAGGGGAAGCATTTGTTCCAACTACATCTCTCTCTCAGAGAGTATTACTGTTAGATTCTAGACACAATGAACATACAAGTAAACATCTCGGCCAGTATTTTTTAGTAGTTCTGAAACACCTTATTTCTGGAAAAATGCATAGAATTTCTGAATTTTGAGCAATGTTTTGGGCAGTGAAGGGTGGAGGAGAAGGTTTGAATTAGCTAGGCTTTTCAGTTCAGATATTTTACATGAAATTAAGTGTGGACTCTCAGAGCTGTTAGGCTGCTAAGCTGCTGACCTCAGGGCTTGCTAGCCATGGCTCAGCTTCAGAGCTCAAAGCAAGGAAGCCCTCAGAACCCCTCGGATTTTCTCTCTCTGAATTCATGGGATGGCATCTGGCTTCCAGCACTTCTGTGTTTCCCACAGTTCTGTCTAGACTTTCTCCAGCTCTGCAGGACACTTCTGCAGCAGATCCCGTGACAGGCAAGGTTCAGTGTCAGGAATGCACAATGCTCTTGGAGGTCGCACGCTCTCTGGTTTCAAAGCTTCATGGTGCTAACATGGAGCCCAGGTCAATAAGAGTTTTGCCCTAAGACAACCCTCATTGCAGGCTCATTCCAGAGCTGCAGCCGCTTGCGGCCCCGCTGTTCCTTCCCTTCCCAGCTCGCAGTGCTGAGGTTGTTCCACAGGACCGGGCTGCCCCAGGGGCTCTCAGCGAAGGTGGCAAGAAGCCAAGCTGGGATGGGGGGGTACATGTGTGGAAAGTGGTCCAGACTAGCAGAGCGTACCAAGTGAGCTGGGGAAGTGTGGGAAA